CCTTCATTTGGGGGTTATTTCTTCATTTTTCCCTTGTAACTGTCTCTTTGTATTTGCTTCTATATATTAGATAAAAACTGCTATGCCTTCAAGTGTTTTGGGGATGGCCTTCTGTTGAAAGTGTCTTGAGTATCTTTGTTCACCTGCACTTGATATTTAGGAATGCCTCTTGTGTATAGTATTTGGGCACTCCTGTTGTAATTGGGTCCTGATTGTTGATGTCCTATTTGTAGGAGAAATATCTCCTCTGACTTTCTTCCAGTGAGATTCAACCCCAATGTCATCATACCAGCTGTCATACAAGTGCTGACAGAACAGAATAAGAACCAACTGGATCAAACTAATCACACCATGAAAATCAAGGCACTCAATGCAACAACAGGAAAACTAAGAAGAAAAAACAAGAGAAAGGAAAGCAAAGAAAATATAAAAAGAATACTATAAAACACTCAACCTAAGACTCGGAGAGTTTGTAAAGAAAATGAGAGAAAGGAGGAGACCAAAAATGGCTATTTGGAAGCAAGGAGGAATATTTTTTAAAAAGCTAATATAGGAGGAAGAAAAAAAAAGAAACCAAAAATAAATCTACACCAATAAAAGAGTAAGATGCAAATTGACCATACTTTGGTGATGCCCACAGCTAATCAGGACTGATAATGCAAATTAACCCAACAAAGATGGTGGGTTAATTTGCATACATAGGTGCCAAGCAGCCAGGGCCAGGCATTCCACCCACCCCAGCCGCTTCAGGCTTCTGGGCAGCATAGGAGGGTGGAAAGGCAACTCCGGGCTGGAACAAAAAGTGGCTCCAGCCGAGCAAAGATGGTGCTGGCAGCCAGAGGAAGGAAGGCTTGTTCTTGCACGAATCTTCATGCATCAGGCTTCTAGTGAATTAATAATAATGAATTTAAAACATAATAATAATTGAGATGTTAAGATATAGATAGAAAAGTAAAATGGGAAAAGGAGAAAAACAAAATAAAATAAGAAAAATTAATAATAATAGAAAAAAGTAGAATAGAATCAATGGGAAGAGAGAAATTTGAGAGATGCAAGAAAAAAGAGGAGAGGAAAAAAGGAGAAAAAACCAAACAAGCAAAAAAAAAAAAAAAACACACACACACACACACAAAAAAAATACATACACACACACACACACACACACACACACACACAATCCTTGGGCACATAATTTGTTTGTTCACTGCATTTTGCTCTGATGTTCTTTTTTTTTTTTTAAATATATTTTATTGATTTTGTACAGAGAGGAAGGGAGAGAGATAGAGAGTTAGAAACATTGATGAGAGAGAGTCATCAATCAGCTGCCTCTTGCACACCCCCTACTGGGGATATGCCCGCAACCAAGGTACATGCCCTTGACCGGAATCGAACCCGGGACCCTTCAGTCCCCAAGTCGATGCTCTATCCATTGAGCCAAACCGGTCTCGGCTGCTCTGATGTTCTTGAGTCTGGTCCTTGGTGTGTCTATCCTGGGCCTCCTGGGAGCTTCTCTGGTGCAGGTGAGTGTGATTCACTGTTCCTCTCTGGCTCTGGGCAACCTGATTGAGGTCTGAGAGATTCAAGCACCTAATAGACCAGCAGACAGGGAATCCTCAATCCTGAGGTTAGGTCTTCATTGTCCCTGTTCTGAGCAGTACTCCCTTCCCTCATGGAGCTGGTCCTGGAGGTGTTTGTGGCAGATGCACACAGGTTCCGGCTGATGTTCACTTAGCTGCATGGACTGGAATGGTGTCCAGGCTGATGTTAACTTAGGTGCACAGCCCCAGTGGTGCCTGTGGTGGGCACACACAGGGCCCAGGTGGTGTTCACTTAGGTGCACTGTCTGGCAGTGTCTTTGGCTGGCATGCATTAAGTCTGGGTTCTGTCCTTGGGACACGTGTGTGTGGGTTTTGAGGCAGGGTACATGTGGCTTTGGGCCTCAACTACAGCTTGGCTGAGTGCCAAGCCTCTGCAGCAGGCTGCAGCCTTTTCCCAAGGAGGACTTTGTAAATTCTTCAAGATGGCATGGTTTCTGAGCCAGAGCCACACCCAGGGAGTGCCTGTGACAATAGCAGTGGCTCTTTGGTCAGGAGAGTCCAAACCCCCCAACTCCAAGACTCCTGCACCATAAGACTTTCTCTCTCTCTCTCTCTCTCTCTCTCTCTCTCTCTCTCTCTCTCACACACACACACACACACACACACACACATACACACACACGTCCAAATATTCACGCACTCACACTCTCTTCCTCACTCCTGTTCCACATACACACACACACAGACACACAGACACACAGACACACAGACACACACACACACACACACACACACACACGTCCAAACATTCATGCCCTCACACTCTCTTCCTCACTCCAGTTCTGTCAACTGCCGTGTTAGAATCTTTTGCTTGATTCTTATTCATTTTCTACTTCTTTTTCATACTGGTGTAGTTCTCATTAGGTTCCTTATAGTTCTCATTAAGTTGCTTGTAGTTCTCTAAGTTGTTTGAGCACCCTTATAACCATTACTTTTAGTTCTTATCTGACAAATTGCTTGCCTCAATTTCATTTAATTCCTTTTCTCATGATTCCTCCTTTTCTGATATTTTGGAATTATGTCTTTGTCTTCCCATTTTAGCTGCCCAGTTGTCTGGGGCACCAGGTGATGTGGGCCAGTTTCAGGGGCAGGTTTGTGCATCTGGGGATGATGGGCCGCATTGGCTGGCAGTGGTGGGTCCTGTTTTCTGGAGGTGCCAGGTTAGGTGTGCTGGGTCATGGTGGCAAGTCCATATGTCCAGGGGCATCAGGTCATGGATGCAGGGAACACTGGGTCATAACTGCAGGGTCGGTCTCAAGGCAGCTTGGTTGGTCATCTGGGGGCACCGGGTCAGGCACAATGGGTTCTGATGGCAGGACCCTGCGTCCGGGGTCATTGAGTCAGAGTGACAGGGCCAGGTGCGCTATGTCAAGGCAGCGGGACCAATCATCCACTGGCACTGAGTTTGCTTGCCAGGTCAGGAAATCAGATCCATGCCTCTGGGCATGCACTCGCCTCGGCAGCGTGACCGGTAAGCCCAGAGCCATGGTTCAGGCACAACAGGTTGCAACATCAGGCCCATGTGTCTGAGAGTATCTTATCCCAGCAGTTTGTCTGTGGCCTCGGGTCACTGGGTCCTGGCTTCTCCCTGCTGACTCCTCTGTAATTCCATTTGGAACTTTTGTAACTTCTGCTGCTATCTTGTATACCTACTCGATGCTGTCATTAAAAAAATCTCTAATATGAAGTGAAATTGAATTGTATATTAAAGACCATTTCCTCCACCTAGCATCTAAACCTTTAGCCATATTTCCTCCCCATACCTACCCCCACCAAATGTAGATTTTTAATTAATTTGACTCCATGGTTTTTAACAGATTAATTTCTTATATATTTTTTTATATTTTTATAGTCATGTCAACTTTGCATGGCTCTTGGTTGTCTCTTTCTGTTGCAGAATCAAAACAACAATGTTATGGAGTGGTGATGATGGCTTGGGATTGATTACTTGGTTGCCTACTATATGAAAGCTATTTCTGTTGGTAAGTCAAAATAAAATTTCTTTAATAAATTTTTTCTGCTAGTGGTGGGGTGTATGAAGTTTTCTTGTTCCCCTTTAACCCTTTGTTTCTGCAGTACTTTTAACTTATGCTCTTGTCTCCTTTTTATATATCAGTCCTCTAAGGGATTGTTCAGCCTTTCAAGTTGCTCTTCTCAAAAGTGTTGCCTTCACAAGATAAGAATTTTCCAAAAATATTGAGACATCAAATCACAGAGGCAAGAAGTTCAAAGAATCTAATTAAGAAAAATACAAACCTCCCAGCCTCAGTGAGAGATATCCTAGTAGTGAAAAGAAAACAGACTGACCATAAATAATTTAAGAACCCATCTTATGATGTTAGAAAATTAATCCCCCAAAATGGAGAATGTGAAAGAAAATAATATCAATTAAAAATTTAGAAAACAAAGATAAAATAGAAAGAATAAATAAATGTAAAAGCTCGTTTCTTTAAAAGACTAATATAACTGATAAAAATTTTACTTCTGGTAAGATTTATCAAGAAAAAAATAAGTGGAAAGATTAAGAATATCACAATGTAGATGGCAATATCACTATCCAAATTTATAATTGTTAAAATACCATAATATATTATGAATAAGTTTACTCCAATAAATTTTAAAATGTAGGTAAATTAAATGATCCTAAAAAATTCTATAATGCCTCTTTCCAAATTACTATTATTATTATCATTATTATCATTATTATTGCTTATGTTTAATCTTCATCTGAGGATACTTTTCCATTGATTTTTTTAATAGTGGAAAAGAGACAGGGAAAGACAGAGAAAAATATTGATGTGAGAGAAACACACATTGATTGGTTGCCTTCTGGTCATGCTCCAGCCAGGGAGGAGCCTGCAACTGAGGTACATGCTCTTGATTGGAATCAAACTGTGGGTCATCTTCAGTTTGCAGGCTGATGCTCTATCCACTGAGCCAAACTGGCTAGGGCTCCCAAATTATTCATAGGATACCCAAATAATTCATTCCTTGAAATAAGTTATGTGCCAACTAATGTGTGATTCTGAGTGGTGATGGTGTTTGGGGGAATACAAGTAAATATAATACAATTATAATACAAAGCCTTTTCCTGGAGGTCTTTCCCGTAGGTCAGGAGGGGAGAAACTTTTTTCTGCCATGGGCCACTTGGATATTTATAACAACATTTGTGGGCCACACAAAATTATCAGCTTAAAAATTAGCCTGTTGTATTTGGTCAAACATTGAAATAACTCTCCCCTAATGCCTTGGCAGGGCCAGACCACGTGATTTTGCAGGCCTATGGCACCCTGGGCCGGATGTTCCCCATCCCTGTCAGAGAGGAAGTACTCGCACAGGAAAGAACAGAGCTTTGAAACCCAGCTCTAGCCCAGGAAAGCTGTGTGAGAGTGGCACAAGCACTTTCCTCGAGTGACCTTTAAAAAGGTAGCTTGAGTTTGTGAAGATTTAGGATAATGTATGTAAAGTTATTAGGTGGTTGATTGTCAGCAGCTCTCAGTTCTGATGACAACTTCACACTTACCTTGGATTTTCTTTTGAGGCTCATTGTATTTAAATGTTCTTTTCCCCAGCCTCCTAAAATGACCTACATACAGGTAGCCCGACCCGTTTGAAATATGGGCAGACCCCGCATGTCTCATGGGCTGACCCTGAAACTAACTTCCAAGATGCTTAGGGACTCCCAAGATACTTACTTTCTTCACAGTTTAATACGGCAGGAGGATGTTCTGCGGAGCACAACTTTTTCATTTCGTAGAAAACAAAATAGTTACTGAAGCACTTCCCCATATTGTAGTTGGGAAGAAGCAGCAACGATCTCAGTATGAAGGTTTTGGTGAAATTTGATATAGCTTTAATTTCTAAAAAGATGATAAGATTGGGTTTCATTATAGGAAATGAACTATCCCTGGGGGGTAAGGGGGGAGGGAGCCACACCCAATTTATAATCAAACCAAACTCAGGGAATCCAAAGTCAGATAATTATGCTTGAAGAACACTCTTTCCCGATGGGTTTGTCGAGAACACCTAAGGACAGTTTGTGTTGAAAACTGAAGAGCTCTCTGATGAAGTGAAGCCAGCATAAATCTTCCTGGCACCATTATGAACAGAAAACAGCTATAGTCTGTTTTCCACATTTCTAACTGTATCAAATAAATAAGGGAGGTAAAAGTATGAGATACAGCCTAGAATTCACCAGTAGAGAACATACAGGAAAATTATTATGTATTTGAGAGTAGGAAAATCTTCAAAAAAAAAAACAACAGTTGATGTGTAACTAGTATCTCTCTAAAGAATGTATTGGATATGAATAATAATTAGACTAAATTCCTGGAGATATGAACATGTTTAACTTATGAATTTACATTGTAAAATTTTGGTAATTCCGTTCTTGGGGAAGAAGATACAGGCTGGCCCAAACACAAAGTTTACATAAGACACTTTGAGCAAGAAGAGGTGCCCATGCAGTGCCAAAGCCATGCTGATCCCGTCCTGTGATACAGAGGCAAACAACTGATCCAGATTGGAGAATTCTGCTTTTTGTCCACCTGAACAAATGCAAAAAGTGGCACTAATTTTATAAACTAGCACTATCTAATATATCTAATCATGGAAAGCTCTATGGCTGCGCTCAGATATAAGTATGGCTATTGAGGGCTAGAAAGGGCTAGTGTGGCTATGGAACTGAATTTTAAAATTGTGTTTAATTTCAATAAGTTTAAGTTTAAAAAGCCCCATGTGGCTAATGGCTATCATATTTCACAGTTCAGATATAGTCTGATATCTTGTGGACTTGCCCTGTAGCAACCATGAGTATCTTCTCTTCCAAAGAGTAGAGAAAGATCTTAGGTGAGGAAGAGAAACAAAGTATCTTATCTGGCAAAATGATGACTCTTTAGGGAAGAGAAAAGAGAAAAAACTGACAAAAATGTGTTACTAAAAATAATTATCATTGAGTTCAGCATGGGCATTGACTGTTCAGAACACACTATAAATCAACTACATTGTGAACTGCTCTACACCTGGTGTGGCCATCGGGACATGACGTGTATGGGTGGGATGCCACTTCCCCAGAGACTCCCAGCAAAGGCATGTTTTATGTGCTCATTTTCCAGCCCCAGCATTTGCTTTATATAATCTAGTAGCAGTTCCTTGGTTTGTAGTGTTTTAAAATTATGGTAGTTCCTTTCTGTCCACTCTGCATTTGTTTTATTTACTTTTCTTCTGCAATGCAGAAGAAAAGTAAATATGTATAATGTATAATGTATAATGTTTAACACAAGTGACAATAAGTCTAATGTATAATGTTTAACACAAGTGACAATAGCAGTCACATTATTCAGCTCTTCATTTGTAAAGGAAATACTTTTAGTGAGTCATAAATATTAAGTTATAGAGTTTTGCCCTTTATAAAGTTAGGCATTTTCTCCCCTAATTCCATTTTCTAAGAAATTTTATCAAGTATCATTTATTTTTCTGCATCTATTCAGATAATTGTTTCTTCTATTAACCCATTAAAATGGGAATTTTATTTATAGATTTTTCTAATGTAAAAAACAACCTTCTAATATTGTTTGTTAATATTTTATTTACAAATTTTGAATCTATGTTTATGAATGAAATTAGTTTATGATTATTTTGTCAGTTTTTGGCATGAGGCTTTTGCTAGTCTTTTAGAAGGGGCTGGAAGTGTTATCTTATTCTTTTCTGTATCACCTGGAAGACAATTCAGGACTCAAAATGAGTCATCTAGGCCTTATGTTTTCTTTTTTTAAATAATTTAAACTATTAACTACTTAGATTCTTGTAGTACAATTTGAATTTTCTAATACTTCTTAAATGAGATTTAGTGAATTTCTTTTTTTTCCTAGAAATATAACAATTTGTTCAAAGTTCTTAGACTTGTCCTAACATTGTTTATTATATCCTCTTATTTGTCAGTAACAAACATATATATATTTCCTCTCTCTCTTTCTCTCTCTCTCTCTCTCTCTCTCTCTCTCTCTCTCTATATATATATATATATATATATATATATATATATATATGTATTTAACTAAATTTTATTAATTCTTCCAACTGCTGATTCATGGGGCTGTTGGTATTCTCTATTATATATTTGTTTTCTATTTGATTGATTTTTGTTATTTGCTCATTATTTCAAGTGTTTACTATGCTTTTTTTTATAACTTATTAAGTTGGACAGTTTGTTAAGTTTTAACTTTCTTCATGGTAATAGTTAAAGCTATAAAATATCTAGCACAGTATTTATGTTATTCTTCAGTTCTAAATATTCTCGAATTTATGTTATGATTCCCTCTTTGGTTTATTAATTATATAAAAACTTGTATTAAAATTCCCAGTTGTGTATTTTTGTTACTAATTTCTAATTGCAAAATGATATTGAATGTGTCATTAATTAGTCTTCATTGAGTATCATCTAATCAGTTTTGTGAAGACTTCATGTGTGTTTAAAAACATGTGTTTGGAATTCTATGTTCTCTATATACTCATTGGCTCAAGTTCATTAACTGCACTATTCAATAGATATCATTTATTGAATTTCTTTTCCTGCTTAATACTTTAGTTACAAGAGAGGTATGCTAACATCGCCTCTATGATATATAGTTTGCCTATTTCAAGTAACTCTAGAAATTTTGATTAAATATACTTCTAGACAATATTACTAGGTAAATAAATTTTGTAATTGTTACAACTTAATATGCAAATGAATCTGCTATCATGTAGTGAGCCTCTTTATTTCTAGTAATACTTTTTAAATCAAAGAGTATTTTTTTTTCTGATACCAGTATTTTGTGGGCACTTGTTTAATATATCTTTTTGCAGTCTTTTATTTTCTGTGTCTTTATTTATTAACAGCATCTCCTATAAAGAGAATAAAGCTAAAATTGATCCAAAACAGCAGTCTTTGTCATTTATTTGATAAGACTTTTATCTTGTTATTTATTTTTACTACTGATATATTTGGACTAATTACTATCATCATATTTCTTTGCTATTTATTATTTTTATTTCATTTTTATTTCTATCCTCTTGCTTTTTGGATGTGATTGAATTTATTTTCTCCTTTCTTCTTCACTGTGTTTTGGAAATTATACTTTAAAAATATTCCTTTAGTGTTTACACTGAATATTCAAACATGCCTATGTAACTTTTCTCTCTGGCTCCTTCAAATATCTTTTTAGCATTGCTGTTCTGAAGTTTTATGGTGATATGTATAGGCTAGTAATTTTTAAAAATGATTTAATGGGCTTTCTGAAACTTAGGATGCCTGACTTTTAATAATTCTGGAAATTCTCAGCCACTATCTTTCTAACACTACTTCCTCTTCCACTAATTCTTTATATACCAATATATGAGATCTCCTCACTCTATCCTCCATGGTTTTTCACATTTCTTTAACATTTTCCATCTTGTTATCTCATATGTCCTTTGCATCCATCTTTTTAAGTGTTATTTATTTATTTTTAATTGTATTTTATAAAAATTTTGTGTATACCAGTGACCAGACATCACATAATTTAATACATGATTATCCCAATAAATCCTATACCTATCCATCACCATGACTAGTTATTAGAATATTATTGACTATATTCCCTATGCTGTACTTTATATCCTTATAACTATTCTTTAACAATCAATTTGTACTTTGTAATCTCTTTGCCATTTTTGCTCGCTCCCATTTGGCAACAACAACAAAAAAAATTATCTGTATCTATGAGTCTGTTTCTGTTCTGCTTGTTGATTCCATTGTTGATAGATATGTATTTATTGCCATTTTATTGTTTCTGATCTTCGTTTCTTCTTAAATAAGACCCTTTGCACTTCATGTAATACTGGTTTGGTGGTGATGAACTCTTTTAGCTTTTTCTTGTCTGGAAAGTTCTTTATCTGACCTTCAATTCTGAATGACAGCTTTTCTGGGTAGAGTAATCTTGCTTATAGGTCCTTGGTATTCTTCACCTTGAATATTTCTTGCCAATCCCTTCTGGCCTACAAAGTTTCTTTTGAGAAATCAGCTGATAGTCATATGGATGCTTCCTTATAGATACCTGACTGCTTTTCTCTTGCTGCTTTTAAGATTCTCTCTCTCTCTCTCTCTCTCTCTCTCTCTCTCTCTCTCTCTCTCTCTCTCTTTCTCTTTCTCTCTTTCTCTTTTTTAATTTTTATTTAACTTTTGGCATTTTAATTGTGCTATATCTCAATGTGTCTCTCTTTGGGTTAACTTTGTTTGGGACTTTCTGTGCTTCCTGGATTACTATGTCTGATTCCTTCACCAAGTTACAGAAATCTTCTGTCATTATTTCAAATATGTTTTCAATTTCTTGCTTTCACTCTTTTCCTTTTGGCACCCCATGATACATATGTTGGTATGATTGAAGTTGTCCCATAGATTCCTTACGCTATCCTCTTTTTTTTTTTTTTTTTTCCTTTTTGCTGTTCCGAATGAGTGTTTTTGCTTCCTTATATTCCACATTACTGACTGATTCTTAGCTTCATCTACTCTACTGTTGAATCCCTGTAAATTATTTTTTATTTCAGCTGGTGTGGCCTTAATTTCTAACTGGTTCTTTTTTATGTTGGTGGGGTCCTCACAAAGTTCCTCGAGCATCCATATAACCAGTGTTTTGAACTTTGCATCTAGTAGTTTGCTGGTCTCCATTTTATTTAGTTCTTTTTCTGGACTTTTGTTCTCTTGTTTCATTTGGGACATGTTTCTTTGTCTCCTCATTTCAACAGCTCCCCACCCCCTTGTGTTTCTTTCTATGTATTAGATAAAGGTGATATATCTCACAGGCTTAGTAACATGGCCTAATGTAGTAGGTGTCCTGTAGGGCCCAGTGGAATGTACACCCTCTTATTGTAGTTGAGTCTTGATTGCTGTTGGTATTTCAATAGTAGGGATTTACCCAGGTTGATCAGCTGCAAGACTGACTATGACTCTTTTATATTCATCCGTAACCACCAATTCTCTTTTCACCTGTTTCAATTATGTTTAATATTCTGATATTTCTGTCTATTAAGTACTTATTTAAATTATTATTTTTTTCATTTTTCAAGATTCTATTTGGATCTTTTTCAAATCTATTTGTTCTTTCTCTCTCCATATATATATATATATATATATATATATATATATATATAATGCTCATACATGTGTATCTATAGTATACACATATGTGCAATATATGTATATAATATGTTCTATATGTTCATAGTCCTGACACTCTGTTACTAGTTAAATATTTTAAAAATACATATTTTATATTCTATTCTAAAAATCCTCAAATCTTAAATGCTGCCAGCTGATCCTTATTCTACAGTTTGTGTTTTCTGGTAGCATTTGCTCTTAGGTCCTTCTTTTTTGTTTTTTCCTTTGTAATTTTAAGCGGATCTCTGTTTCTCTAGATAATTTACTGTGGGAATACTTTGAAGTCTGGAAATTGTGTACACCTTTGCCACTCACCTGTGAACACAATCAATTGAGGTTATTTTAAATAAATGATCAGGTTATGTTTTTGGCTTACATAGGTACTATGATTTCAAGAAACAAACCAGTATGTGGACTTGCCTGTGGTTACAAATTAAAAGGGAAATTACTATTCTTTATTCCAATACCAAATTCAAATTTTATAAATTTTCTTTCTAAATTTCCTTTCTGTGTCCTATCGTGGCATTAGTTAAGTTTTGTTAAACCTTATAATGAAGGCCTCTAACTTCCAATTTTAGATAGGAAGCGACTAAAACCTTAGTTGCATGTGCTTTATGCTTCCTATTCTGACCTCAGTGTTACTCACTACCTGAGCAAATGTAAAGTTAAGAAAACCAGATTCTGTTAATAAGCACATGTCAGAGATACCTTTAATATTTGCTTGCCTTCAAGGACACGTAAAAACTTTCTGAAACAGTAAATTCTTCTTATTACTAGAGGCCCGGTGAATGAAATTTGTATACTCGGCATGTGGGGGCAGGGGGGAGCCCTCAGCTTGGCCTGCACCCTCTCGCAGTCCAGGAGCCCTCAGGGGATGTCTGACTGCTGGCTTAGGCCTGCTCCAGTTGGACATCCTTAGCACTGCTGTGGAGGCGGGAGAGGTTCCCACCACCACTGCTGTACTCACCAGCCACAAACCCAGCTTTTGGCTGAGTGGCGTTCCCCTGTGGAAGTTTACTGACCACCAGGTGGCAGCTCCTGCATTGAGCATCTGCCTCCTGGTGGTCAGTACATGTCATAGCGATAAGTCATTCTGCCATTCGGTTGATTTGCATATTAGCTTTTTATTAAATAGTACTAGAGGCCCGGTGCACAAACTTTGCACTCAACCCAGCCTGCACCCTCTCCAATCTGAGACCCGAGGGATGTCCGACTGCCGGTTTAGGCCCAATCCCACCTGGATCAGGTCTAAATAGGCAGTTGGACATCCCTCTCACAATTCAGGACTACTGGCTTCCAACTGCTAGCCTGCCTGCCTTCCTGATTGAGTCTAACCGCTTCTGCTTGCCAGCCTGATCACCCCCTAACCACTCCCATGCCAGCCTGAATGATGTCTAACTGCTTACCTGCCAGCCTGTTTGCTCCCAACTTCCCTCCTCTTCCAACCTGGTCACCCCTAACTGCCCTCCCCTGCTGGCTTTTTTTCAGTTGCAGAGCTACCTCATATCAATAATAGATATTTAGACATAGTCCCACCTCCTTGCTGTCAGGTGAATGAGAGTTCTGGCTGTCAGGTGGCAGGGAGCTGTCTGACCAATGATCAATTCTCTAAGGGTGGGACTTCCTCCTCCCTGCTGTCAGATGGCTGTCAGACCTCTGAGAGCTGTCTGACAAATGGCTGATTCTGTGGGAATGGGACTTCCTCCTCCCTGCTGTCAGAGTCTGGGCCAGCACAAACTGGAACACAGCATCAAGTCCCCTTGTGCCAGAAGACCCAGAGTCAACTCCCCGCTCACTTGTGTGTCCCAGTCTCATGGATGGGCTGACAGGCCCAGACGTGCCAGAGGCTGGGAGCAGAGAGGCTGGATCTGCCACTGGAGTAAGCGGATCCTGCCTGTCCACCTGGTCCCCAGGGCCCCTGGCCAGGCCTATAGGCCCAAGAAATCCAGCCTCACTGCTCAGCCCCAGACACTCCAGAGGTCACAGAGCAGCCAGGCTTGATCCACTACTGGAGTGGGCACATGCCACATGACCCCTGGCTGGACACCCCAGGTGCCTCCCAGCCAGACTGTGGGACTCTGGAGGGGCTGGACTTGGGAACTCTGGTGGGGCTGAGAGCACTGGGCGCCGCCATCTTGTGGCTATGGGCACTGTCATTTTTGTAGCGGAGTGATGTCTAATTTGCATATTACTCTTTTATTAGATAGGATGTTTATTGGGGTGACATTAGTTCAGCAACCAAACAGGTTTCAAGTGTACAGCTCAACAAAAGATCATCTGCACACCACCTCATGCACCTATTGCTCAAAGGATAATCTTTCTGTCCCCATTTCTTTCCCCTTTCCCCCCCCCCCCCCCACCCTTTTCCTCTGGCTAACACCACATGTTGTCTGTGCCTATGTGTTTATATATATAAACTCACAAACTCAAATGCTTTAAGGGGAGTCTTCCCCACTTAGCACAATATTTCTCTTAAAAGAGCTGTGCAGCATATACAGATATCGCTTTCCATAATTTGGGATTGCTTTGAGAATTAGTGCTAAGGCATATCTCTTAACATTTTTTGTCTGCTATCCAGAGGTTTAAGTTTTATTCATGTGAAATACTTTTTTGTGACAGGGAATGAGGCGGGAAGCCTGTGCTCTGCGATAACAGGGAGAAATGAAGTGGTCAAGTGCTCAAGCCAGTTCAAACTCTTGTTGGAGAAGGAAGGATGGGGGAAATATAAATGTAAGAATACTGCAGAAGCCAGGTTTATGTGCGGTAAGGAAAGAGAATGCTTGGTTGTAAGGATGTCAGGTGCATTCAGTTTTTCTTCTTTCTGGAAAATCATATTTGGCTACTGAGCGTCTTTAAGTTAGGGAAGAATAGCTGCACCATACAACCTTTCCTCTATGAAACTATTGGCCTCTCTCAAGAATTCAGGATTCCTCTCCACTCCTCCCTCTCATCACCACACTATAAAGTGCCCCAACATTGCCAAAAACAGTTTGGCTCAATGGATAGAGTGTCAGCCTGCGGACTGAAAGGTCCCGGGCTCAATTCCGGTCAAGGGCAAGTACCTTGGTTGTGGGCACATCCCCAGTAGGAGGGTGTGCAAGAGGCAGCTGATCGATGATTCTCTCTCATTGATGTTTCTAGCTCTCTCTCTTCCTCTCTGTAAAAAATCAATAAAATATATTTAAAATAAAATAAAATAAAATAAAATAGAAAATAAATAAAGTGCCCCAACATAAAGGATAACACTTTAAAAAATAATGAGGGTCTACTGTCAAATGTGTTTTTGATATGATTTATTGTAACTTGCTGAGGGCCTATCCTTTTAAGAAGAAAGCTGCTCTTTTGTTTTTATTTACTCTCGTTTTCTGCTTCTGACAAATGAGTTTCAGAAACAAATGCTCCTAAAATGTCCAAAATCTTGTGCAAAACAGGTTCCTTAAGTCACGTACTAGTGTTACTGGATGTGAGGGGAAGGAGGAGGAATCTTGTCAAAGAACCATATATCGGGTTCAGTCCCATCATTTCAACAGGAAGACCCCATTCCAGCAAACCTGGAGTGGGTTCACAGGCTCTTAGAGTAAGTTTTTATTTATTTCAGAGAGGATGGGAGAGGGAGGGAAACATCAATGATGAGAGAGAATTGTTGATTGGCTGCCTCCTGCATGGGACTATTGGGATTTGAGACTATAATCTGAGCATGTGCCCTGGGACCATGACCTCAGCTCAACCCTTGAGTCACACTGGCCAGGCTCAAAGTAATTTTTATTGACTTACATCAAGTTCAGGATATTACCAACCCTGGGACATAATTGTTTCTTCATGTCCTTTTATTTACACTTACCAGACTGTAATGTGGAATCAATGAACATACTCAAAACGCCTGAAAACAAGACTATCAACAAAAGCCCGTTTTGGGCAGAAGAACTTTTAGAAAACAGGAAGCTCAGCAGATATATTAAGGGGATGGCACTCCAGCCAAACAGCATGAAGATCAGCATTGTGTCCAGGAAGCGGTAGTCTATGAGATACACGTTCAATTTGCATAACTTGAACACATACTGGAACACACAATAGACAGTGATAAAGGCAAGTGAGACCTAAGTGCAAAAATAATTGAAGCTAGAACACTTACAGAAGGAAATAGCAAGACCTGTCCTTATTTAGCACAGAATACTCATTAATTTAGCACTGAATAATTATTTTGCAAAAGAAAAAAAATTATAATAATAATAGCCCTACTTGCTTCTTCTTTTCCAACGGCAGTCCAGAGACAGATGCACTGTAATTTCCTTTATTATTATTAATTTTCACTTGGGAAAGTTTTTTAAATTCATAAAAAGAATCAGTATTTTCCCCAAAAATAATCCTAATTCTCAACTTTCCCAGAAAGTAGAATATTTATCTAAAGAGAAACTATTTCTTTAAATATTTTTCCTCTTCATTACATGCCTTAACCTATCATGCCATCCACCTTTAAACTGTCTCCTGGTTCTATTCTACTCCCATACTCCATCACATGCACTTTTGCAACTCTGGGACTTCTTTCTACATTTCTTTTTCAAATTGGTACTTTTCCCTTTACAGCATCATTCTCAGCAACCAGTGAGATAAGCAAGGTTGTGTCATTATTCTCACTTCACAGACCATTTCAGCGGTTTGCGGGAGGCGGCAGACTCCAAAGCAGCTGGGGTTCTTGTTTCCAAATTCCGCGCTCTTTAAAAGTTGCCTCACTGGCACTCCAAATGCCCACTCCCATGTTTTCTCATATGTTCCTGTGATTACACTTTTTGCTTTTTATTTTGTCTTTCACTCCCCACCCCATAATTCATTGTACAGAGTAATTACATGTAGCAACAATTGGCTTTTCTTAGTATCCATGCCCGTGTGTTTTTTTAATTAAATGTATTGGGGTGACTTGGGTTAACATTATATGGATATCATGTATCACATGTTTATGACACATGATCTGTATATTACATGGTGTGCCCATCACTGTGTATTTGATACCCGTTGCCCTCTAATTCGAAAGAACCTCCCTCAGGTAACCACCATTGTATTGTCTGTGCCTATGAGTTTCAACTTTATACCCACATCTGAGTGAGATCATATGGTTCTTAGCTTTCTCTGACCTATTTTGCTTAGCATATTTTCAAGACCCATCCATTTTGTTGCAAACGGAAGTATTTCATCTTTTCTTATCGCTGAGTAGTATCCCATAAATATCCACAAGAAAAAACTGAGATCATTTATTAAAAAAGATATATGTACCCCTATATTCACTGCAGCCTTATTCGTCGTGGCCAAGGCATGGAAACAACTGGAGTGTTCTTCCATAGATGATTGGATAAAGAAGATATGGCATTGCTGGGTTATACAGTGACCACATTCTTAATTTTTGAGGAGCCTCCATACTGGTTTCCATAGTGGCTGTGCCAGTTTACATTTCTACAGGCAGTAAAGGAAGGTTCCTTTTTCTACAAAACCTCTCCAACACTTATTACTTGTCTTGCTTATAATAGCCACTCTAACACGTGTGGGTGGCATTTCATTGTAGTTTTGATTTGCATTTATCTAATAGCTAGTGAAGTTGAGCATCTTTGCATATATTTGTTGGCCATTTATATGTTTTTTTGGGAGAAGTGTCTGTTCAGGTTCTCTGCACATTTCTTAATTGGGTTATTTGTTTGGTGTTGAGTTGTATGAGCTCTTTATATGTTTTGGATATTAACCCCTTGTCAGAGCTGTTGTTTCCAAATATCTTCCTCTATCTTGCTGGTTGTCTTTTGTTTGGTTGGCAGTTTCTTTGCTGTGCAGAAGCTTCTGGTTTGATATAGTCCCATCCATTCTTTTTGCCTTTACTTCCCTTGATTTGGGGTCAAATTCGTAAAATTTTCTCTAAGACCAAGGCTCATACATTTAGTACCTATCTTTTCTTCCATATAATTTATTGTTTCAGATCGTATATTTAGGTCTTTTATTCATCTGAGTAAATTTTCTAACTTTTTTTAAAATGTGATTTTATTGATTTTTTTAGATAGACATAAAGGGAGGGGAAAGGAAGATAGAAACATCCATGATGAGAAAGAATCATCAATCTGCCACCTCGTGCACACCCCCTATTGAGTCTTGAGCCCACAACCTGGGCATGTGCCCCGGCCAGGGAACCTTTTGGTATGTGGGATGATGTTCAATCCACTGAGCCACACGGGCTAGGACATTAGAATAAATTTTTGTACATGGAGACAAACTATATTCTACTTTCATTCTTTTGCATGTATCTTTACAATTCTCCCAGCACCATTTATTGAAGAGGCTTTCCTTACTCCATTGTATGTTTTGGCTCCTTATAAAAAATTATTTGCCGATATACATATGGTTTTATTTCTGCACTCCCAAATCTGTTACATTACTTTGTGTATCTGTTTTTCTGCCAATACCATGCTATTTGATTATCATTGTCCTTTAGTATAATTTGAAGTCAGGTAGTTGTGATACCTCCAGCTTCATCTTTTTTCTCAGGATTGCTTTGGCTACTTGGGTTGTTTTGTGATTCCTTACAAATCTGATTATGTTTTCGTTCTATTTCTTTTAAAACTGGAATTGGGATTTTCATGGGGATTGCATTAAATCTATATGTAGATTTAACTATGTTGATTTTTCCAATCCATGAACATGGAATATCTTCTCATTTAATTCTATCTCTTTCAACCTTTTAAAAAATTTTAAATAGATTTTTCTTTATTTCAGAGAGGAAGGGAGTAGGAGAGAGAGAGATAGAAACATGAATGATGACAGAGAATCACTGATTGGCTGCCTCCTGCATGACCTCTACTGGTGATCGAGACCACAACCTGGGGCAAGTGCCTTGACCAGGAATTGACCCATGACCTACTGGTTCATAGGCCAATTCTCAACACTGATCAGGCTTTTCTGCAATCTCTTTTAATGATGCTTTGTAGGAGATGAGAAGATGGCAGCTGGCAGGACAGCAGTGAGGGAGAGGTTGTGAATGAGGGAGTGAAAGGGGCGTGTGTGGACATGTGTGGTGTGTGTTGGGGGAGACAGATATCTCAAGTCTCAGGGGATGGCAGACCAGGCTCTCATGGACGGGGAGCCCCTGCCACTGCTGTGGGCACTCCCTGGGATATGGGCCTCGGGCATGGAGCCCATGCCATTTTGAAGGGGAGAATGGCCTCCACTAGGAACCCAGCCTCACCACCACCCAGATTGCCTTGGACACCACAGCCACCCTAGCCAAGTTCATGCTGCCTCAGTGCATACCTGCAGACCCCAGGACGTCTACCTCCTGGCTCATGGCTCCTGACCACCACAGTTGCCCCATCCCAGCAAGGCCCACGACTTCCCCTCCCAGGCTGGATTCTGAACACTGTAAGCAGGCTGCTCCAGCAACAGATACCAAGAATACTGCTTTCTGGGCCACTGGATCCTGGGCCTATCGATGAGTTGCTGAGTGTGCATCTCTGCAGGCAAGGGTACACGGCTTCAGCTGTAGAACCTGCCACTACCACTTCCCAGGCCTCTGGACTTTGGGCCCCTCATGAGTTGCTGAGTGTGTGCCTCTTCAGCTGAGGATACAAGGCTCCAGCAGCAGACCCCATGACTTGCCCCTCCCGTGCTGCCTCTCTGGTCAAGGTTGTGCTGTTTCCGCTACAGACTCCAAGATTCCCGCATTCCCAGCTGCTGGCTCCTGTCCCCTCTCCCCTTTTACCCTCCTTCCCCCTGTGATTCGCAAAGTGAGATAACTCTGGCCAGAGTCCCCGTTGTAGCATCCATAGACTACAGGACACATTCCTCCCACCATCACAGGCTCTGGGACCCTCACAGTGATTTGCAGAGTAACATTACCCCAGCAAGAGTCACACCACACTGGCCAGAATCACACTACCGCAGGCCCAGAGACCCCCTTCCTCCCAGGCCATGGACTCTGGGATCTTACAGTGAGTGCAGGCCAGTGAGACCTCAAGCGCCCCTTTCCACAAGAGCACAAGAGCCAGAACACAAGCACACCACAACTTGCACCATTGTCAGACAACCCGAGATGAGATTTATTTTTCCCCACTTCATTTAAATTCTTTGTTGTTTAAAGTAAGTGCCCCTTTTCCCCCATTGACTTCTCTCCAACCACTCTCGCTCCCCAGCACATGCCCTCACCCCCTACTGTCTGTGTCCACTGGTTATGCACCCATACAAGTCCTTTGGTTGATCACTTACTTCCCTCCCCTACCTTCCCTCTTAGGTTGGATGGTCTGTTACATGCTTCTATGACTGGTTATATTTTTGTTCATCAGTTTACCTTGTTCATTATATTCCACAAATTAGTGAGATCATGTGATAATTATCTTCCTCCAATTGGCTTATTTCGCTTAGGATAATGCTCTCCAGATCTATCCACGTTGTTGTGAATGGTAAGAGTTCCTTCTCATAATATTCCATTGTGTAGATATACCACTGGTTTTCAATCTACTCATCTCGATCCTTTCAAAGAATCAGCACTTGGTTTTATTGATTTTTTTGTATAGTTTTTTTTTTGTCTTTTTTTTTTTGTTTGTTTCTATGTCATTTATTTCCACTCAGATCTTTATTATTTCCTTCCTTCTGCTCACTCTAGGATTTTCTTGTTGCTCTCTTTCAAATTCTTTAAGTTGTAGAGTTAGATAATTTATTATCCGTTTTCCTTGGTCTTTTTTCGGGTTGGGTGGGGGAGGGGGAGGGTTGAGGTAAGCCTATAATGCTATGAACTTCCCTTAGGACTGCTTTCACTGTGTCTCATAGATTTTTGGATTGTTGTGTTTTCCTTGTCATTTATTTGCAGAAATATTTTTATTTCTTCTTTGATCTCTTTGGTAACCCAATCATTATTTAATAACATGATATTTAGCCTCCAAGTGTTTGAATTTTATTGTTTTTATTGTAGTTTATTTATAATATTATGATATTGGGATCTGAGAAGATGCTTGATATGATTTCAAAGTTCTTGAATTTGAAGAGACTTTGCCTATGTCCTAATATGTGGTCTATCTTTAAAAATGTCCCATGTGCACTTGAGAAGAATGTATATTTTGTAGCTTTTGGAGTAAAATATTCTGAAGATATCAATTAGTTCCATCTGATCTAGTGAGTTATTTAGGATTGATGTTTCTTTGCTGATTTTTTATTTAGAGGATTTATCCAGTGATGTCAATAGGGTATTAAAAAGTCCCATAACATGATTATACTGCTGTTGATCTCTCCCATGATATCTGCCAGAAGTATTTTTTATGTATTTGGGAGTATTTACTAACCTTTCAGCTTCCCTAGGTCTTTTGATTGGAGCATTTAATCCATTTATGTTTAAGGTTATTATTGATAGGTACTTGTTTGTCACCATTTTTATTCTTTATGCCTCTTTTCCTTCTTCCAATTCTATTTCTTTTTAAAGTAGTCCCTTTAGTATTTCTTGCATTGCTGGCTTGGTGGTAATAAACTCAGTCCCTTTTTGTCTGTGAAGCTCCTGATTCCACCTTCAATTTTGATAGCCTTGCTGGGTATAGTATTCTTGGATTCAGTCCCTTGCCTTGCATCACTTCATATATTTCATCCCATTCCCTTCTGGCGTGATGTGTATCTGTTGAGAAATCAGTTGATAGTCTAATCAAAGATCCCTTGTAGGTAATTTTCTGTTTCTCTCTGGCAGCCTTTAAAATTCTTACTTTGTCATTGATGTTTAACAATTTAATTATGATATGTCTTGGTGTTGGTCTTTTTGAGCTCATCTTGTTTGGGACTCTGTGTGCTTCTTAGCCTTGTGTGGTTTTTCATTTCTTCCCAACAGCAGGGAAATTTTCTGTCATTATTTCTTCAAACAGGTTTCCTATTCCTTGCTCCACTTCTTCCCTTTCTCGAACCCCTATTATGTGGATTTGTTGTTGTTGTTTTGTTTTGTTTTGTTTTGTATTGTTCCAAAGCTCCATTAGTTCTCCTCCTGCTTTTTAATTTTTCTTTCTAGTTGCTGCAGTGCTTGGATGGTTTATACTACCTTGTCTTTTTGTATATTTAAATTTTCTCTTCATAAAAAGGACATCAATCAGATTGAATTGGGACCCACTATAACTGCTTCATTTTAACTTGAATTTTAAATGCAAACAATAACTATTTGAAAGCCTCATCTTTAAATATAGTTATATTTTTAAAGAACTGGTATTTAGAACTTAAACATATAAATTTTGGGGGATATAATTTAGCTAATAAAATTATTATGGCCCTGGCTTGGTGGCTCAGTCAGATTAAGTGCCATCCTATACACCAAATGACTATGGGTTTGATTTCTGGTCAGGGAACATACTTAGGCTGCGGGTTTAATATGATCAGGGTGCATATGACAGGTAATTCCTTGATGTTTCTGTTTCACTTCTCTCTCTCTCTCTCTCTCTCTCTCTCTCTCCCTCTCTCTCTCTCTCTCTCTCCTCTCTCTCTCTCTCTCTCTCTCTCTCCTCCACCTTCCCTCCCTAGCTCTCTATCTCTTCCTTTCTCTCTCTCTAAAACCAATAAGCATATCATTAGGTGAGGATAAAAATCGTTTATGAGTTCCAAAGATTTTCTTTCACATGCCTCTTAATTAAAATTTATACTGTATTTTCCGGTGTATAAGATGACGCCCTAATTTTACAGTTAAAACATAGGTTTAGGCCTATATTCGCTGCATAAGACTATCCCCCACTTCTGAGGCAACACCAGTTCTTTTTTTAATTAAATTTTTAATGATTGACATTTTTCAAACATAGCGTAATATACCGTACATTGATACAATAAATGGAAGCTCTCTTCACAAACGGCAATGCCATGAACTTGACCGAGAAACAAGAAATCCAAAAGAGAACATTAACAATGATGGCATCATCTGGAAAGAAAATTACATGAAGAACTTGCAGAAAACGCTTGTTTGTGACTGACTGTGATGATAAGAGGTTTTTCTAGGCAGAGGAGCATTGTGAGCTTAAAATCTTTCAAAATCCTCATCATGTTCTTATTCTGACATCATAAGTTCATCAATGACCTCTTGTGGTACATTTGTAAGACAGTTATCATATGGATCAAATTCCAAATCAGATGGTGTGGCTTCAGCTTCGGCTTCCCCTTCATCTTGCCACAAGGAGTCATCCTCCATACCGTCCAAAGAATTTGATATGCCACACTTCTTGAAAGACCTGATTACTGTTTCTTCAGTAATATCATTTCAGGCTTTTATGACAAAGATACACAAAACATCCAATTGTGGCGCACGCATGTTTCCTCCTTTTGTGAATAACTTTTCGCCACTAACCATCCACTCATTCCACTGTTCTCTAATGCGATCTTTAAATGGCTTGTTTAGGCACACATCCAGTGGCTGTACCAATGATGTCAATCCTCCAGGAATAACTGCCACATCTGTGTTTTTTCTTGCCAGCCTGTTCTTTGTGCTGGTAGTTAAATGAGCCCTGAACATATCCCACACCAGTAGGCTACGTTCTTGACGAAGTCCACCTGGTTGCCTACTCCATACATTATCAAGCCATAGTTTTACCCCTTCTTCATCCATCCATCCTTTTTCATTCACATGTACAAAAACTCCAACAGGGAACTTGATTTTCAGCATTGTTTTTCTTTTAAAAATAATCATTGGTCTTAGTTTGGCACCATCAGCTATACATGTGAGTACCACTGTAAAACTGGACTTCTCATGTCCTGTTGTTTTAGTTAACACTGTTTTTTCACCTGTTGGATTAACAGTTTTATTTCCAACCATATCGAAATTCATAGAAGTTTCATCCATATTTCCGATCTGACTTAATGCATAGCCATGTTTCTTGCACTGTTGTATTACATATTGATGGAAAAGACTTACTTTGCCGTCAAGATCTGAGGTAATTTTTGTGCAATTTTGGTCTTTTGCCTCAGTACCAGATTGTGCCTTTCCAAGAACCTAGTACTCCAGGACACAGTGACCTTAAATCCTTTGCTGTTATCTGGGTTAGATTTGGCCCACTGAAGTGCAAACATATGTATTTTGTTTCGTGTCACTACATAACCATTTTGACGATGCTCAAGAACCATGTCTGCTACATGCTTTTCGAGTTCTGGCCAATAAGGGGTGCCTCTTCTTAATGCACACTTACTCCTTGGCATACTCTTTAATGCATCTTCGTTTGCTTTCCAGTCTCGGACCATCTTTTCTGTTACTCCATATTGTCTTGCCACAGCACAGTTATTGTGTTCCTTGGCAAAGTTTATAACTTTCAGTTTGAAACTGGCTATAAATTTCCTTCTTCTTGCTGGAGCCACGATGAGTTCTTTTCTACAAGCCATTTGTTGTACACCCACTAATCTTTTAGGCCGGGGTTATACAGTGCTGTAGCTTCAGCTACACACAGAATGTTCTATGACGGTACCTTTTAACTCACTGTATGTGTCCTGATACAGCAGCTTTGGCTACACAGAATGTTCCTGTGCTGCAACTGTATGTACCACGGTGAGCCAATCACAACAAGCAAAGGTTCAAAGGTTATAATAGACAGCCTCTCTGACTCTGGCCAATCTGAGCAGGCTTTTTACTAGAACACAGTGTAGCTTCGGGTACAGAACATGTATAATTTGCATTCATAAAAAGCCTGCTTGGATTGGCTGAGTTAGAGAGGCGGTCCGAGCAGCTTGCAGTGATTGGTGCAGGGTGCAGTTGGAAAATTCGTTTAGTGGCATATAGAGATGTTTTTTGGGATATACTCGGCTTATAAAACGACCCCCGATTTTCGGTTGACCTTTTTTCATTTCAAAGGTCATCTTATACACCGGAAAATATGGTACACATTTCAATATGTTTTCTAAGATAATGAGCAGAGTTAGGTTTATGATATAATTGGAGAGTAGCAAATTTCCACAGAGTACAGAAAATAAAGAAACTCTCAAAAAAAAAAAATCTTTATTTAACACTCACCAGCAGTAGGCAGCAGGCAATGAAGAAGATGATGAGATCCAACAGTAGAGTAGAAAGCCAGTATACAAGGACATGGACACCACTCAGAAATTGGATGTGCTTTGCCTTAGTGATTCTCTCAGTCACTGTCAGGATACAAAAGCCACTGAGCAAAAATGCCATCCCAAAATGTAAATTGTCGGCCACTTCATCTCCATCTGAAAGCCTAGAAAAGAAGGAACAAACGTAGATATATAAATAAAAAAGTCAACAGCAGAAAATATAAATTTCTATCAATTGCTATTTTTAATCATAGAGATATCATCAACATTGTATAAAAACATTTAGGTATAAAATTTTATTCTAATGAATAGAAAAACATACATTGATTTGCGTTTCTCATAAGCAGAGTTTGGCTGAGGTTTATTGATGACTGTTACGGAAGCATCGGGGCCAGAAGTTGACATGAAAAGAATATTGTCTAGCATTGCCAAGGACAGGGATGGTGAGTGGTATGCTTTATTGTTGAACAGACCAGTAAATGTTATTTTATCTTTCTCCACCTCAATGGAAAATGCAACGATGCATAAGTGAATACAATCTTCATTTTCCATCAAATATTTTAGTAGGTCACCTAGGATAAGGATGTAATACTGGTCAGTTTGTCCAAAGTGCAATATATGTTCAGGAAGAAGAGCAACTAATTTTACTTGGTTATTATCCCTTTCAGTTTTCTTAAAAGTGATTATTTCAAATATTTGCCATTCTCTTTAATCACTTAATTGTCCATAATCTAAATTCCTACTTCAATGAGAAAACACAGTTGGCCTGTATAGACTCTCTATACTTACTTATCTGTCTTAAATTTATCTATGAGTACTTTCACTTATAGATTTTATTGCTTATCTTTCAGCAAAAACTTCCTGTGAGAAAATGGATAAAAGAAATGAGAAATCACCTATTTTAAGGTATCATATATCTAGGAAAGAAATAAACATTTGGGGTCCAAGACCTTGGAAGGAATGAAAATTCATTCATTTTCTGTGCCTTTTCCTTTTAAGGCACTTTAGAGCTGTTAATGGTGGTGGTGCCTTGTGGTAAATCCTCTAGTTCTCAATAGAGTTCATGAAGAGCTATAGCTTAGGAGTAAGGCTGAGTAAAAAATAGAGTCCTTATAGCAATTTCAATACAGTATCAAATCGCTTAAATCCATGATTGGATTTAATCTGTCCTTAATCTTACTAGCCATCAGAAAGTAAACTTCCTCAGGAGAATACAACTTCATTCAGATTATTTATAGCCTTCACACACAATATCTGGTGTACAATAAGAAAATTTCTAGCTATACCAAAAAACAGAACCAAGAAAAATGCACAAATAAGAGAAGCAGATCCACAGGTAAACTAGGCGTTAGAAATAGGAAATTCACAAGAGAACTAGTGTGCATAGAATGAATAAATGTTGATGTTAGCATTGAAAAACACATATTAATTACAATTAAGGATTCAACATATAACTTATATTGGTTGGATACAAATGAAGAGTAGATAGGAAACTAGAAGATAGGTTGATTCAAAAAAAATAAGCAAATGGCACAATAAAAAAATGAAGAAGAAACATAATGGAAAATAAGAATGAAAACATTAGTTAACAATATTCTCAATGACATGGGAAATCACTATAGATATTCACATATCGATAATAAAGTAATACTATGAACAACTGTATGCACATTTAGATGAAATGTACTACTTCCTCAAAACATAAACTATTGCTTACCTCTCCCAATATAATAGATATTAATGAATAATTATTAAGGAAACTTAATTTATAAATTAAAAAATTTCCCCCAAAATGAATATCCAGATCTGGATATATGTTGTTTAATGTGATGGCAAGATTTTACTGTGACTTAAGGGGTATCAATACAACTCTGGGCATGTGGAGGATGGGCAGGCTCCAAAGCACTATCAGGTCCAGATGTTTTGACTAGAGAATTCTAAAAAATATTTGTGGAAAAATAAACACTAATTATAGATAATATGTTTCAGGAAACAGAGAAGAAGGGAACATTTCTCAATTTATTTTATAAAGCTAGTAATACCCTGAAAAACCATGCAAAAGTACAAGAATTAAAATACAGACCAGTATCTTTCATGAATATAGGTGTAAATCTCCTTTAAAAATATTAGCAAAAAATATTCAGCAATATAAAAAAAGAATAAAACACCATGACCAAGTGGGATCTACTTTAGAGATGCAGTTCTGTATTTAAAATCAATCAATGTCATTCACCGTATTAATAGGCTGAAGAATAAAAATTACATAATAATATCAACCTATGCAGAAGAAAAAAAAACTTTTGAAAAAACTCAATACTCACTCGTGATAAGAATATGGCAATATTGCTGAAGTTCCTCAACTTTATACAGAACATGTACATAATCTCTACTGCTAACATTATACTTAATGGTGAAAAACTACTTTTCCCCCGAGACTGAGAACAGGGAAATAATGTCCACTTTCATCACTCTGATTCAACATTGTGCTCGAGATTGTGTCTAGTGCAATAAAGATGAACAGAATAAAACAGGCATATAGGCCATAAATAAAGAAATAATACTATTAATTTCAGATGACATAACTGACTTTCAAGAAAAATCTCAAGGAATCAACAAAAAAACTCTAGCTTTAATAGGTGAGTTCACCAAGGTTGCAGGGTACAAGATAAGCATAAAAACCAATTGCTTTCTATACATTAGAATAAATGTATGGACACCAAAATTAAAAATACAATGTCATTTAAGTCTGTTCAAAAAAGGAAATAGTTAGCTATAAATTTAAGAAAATATGCACAGGATTCATTGATGAAAAGTATACCACATTGATTAAAGAAATTTAAAAGTTCTAATTCAATGAAGACACATTTTATGTTCATGAATTGGAAACCCATAATCATTCTTCCAAATTGATATAATTAAATTCTTATAAAAATTCCCACAAATTATTTTATATGTATGGAACAAAATCTATATGGAAAAATCAAAGGAACTAAACAATTTTGAAAAATAGGAATAAAGTAGGAGGAATAGTCTACTATATATTAAGCACACTATTGGTGAATTAACAGGGACATAGATTAAAGAGTAGAATAGAGAACCCAAAATTAGACCTACATATGCCCCACTCATTTTGGATAAAGGTACAAAAATATTAAATGGATATCATCACTCAACAAATGTTGCAGGAGCAATTGGATGGCAATAGGCACAAAATTTAACCTTGATGCACATCGTATACATTATACTAAAATTAATGTAAAATGGATTATAAACTTAAATATAAAATTGTAAGAATTTTAGAAAACTATGAACATTTTTATGAGAAAAGTCTTCATTATTTAGGGCTATGCAGAAAATCAGACTTGACACAAAATACACAACCCATAAAAGAAAAATTTAACAAATTGGACTTCATCAAAATAAAACTTTTTTCTGGAAAACTGATTATGATGATGAAAATACAGTTGACAGTATAAGAGAAAACATATAAAAATCTCTCATAACTCAATAGTAAGAGAAAACACCAATATTTTTAAAAGAAGTAAAAGAACCCTGGCCATGTGGCTCAGTGGGTGAGTGTTTTCTCATGTACTGAAAGGCCATCAGTTTCATTCCCGATTAGGGCACATATGGAGGTTGCGGGTTCAGTTCCTGGTTGGGATATGTACAATAGGCAGCCATCGTTGTTTCTCTCACATCTGCCCCCCCCCCCTCCCTCTTCCTGCCTCTTTCTCTAAAAATCAATAAAAAATATATTTTAAAAAAGCAAAAAACATGAACACATATTTCAGTTGAAAAATAAACACATGAAAAAGATGCTCACATCAGGGAAGCAAATTAAAACAACAATGAAATATTACTACATACCTACCAGAATGGCTAAAATAAAAAATAATGACACGAATGGTGGAAAAGATGCGGGAGGGAGATGGAAGAATAGCTTCCATTCTATTCTGAAAGGCCTAGAGTCATGTGATACATTACATTCTGACCAAATATTGAACAACAAAACAAAATTCATGCTTAATTTCATGGCACTTTGATACTTTTTTTACTCAAAAGCACAAGTGTCATGTAAGCAACCCACAGCTAAAATAAAAGGCCTCCACTAATAATTAACATTGTGAGGCCAGTAGCCCTAAAGAACGAATTTCTTGACTCTGAGCCACCTCTATAAAATTGGTGAAAAGAATGAAGAGGAAAAGAATGAAGAGGAAGCCACACATACAGTTAAGACTCTTCTTTGCACAACCATATCTTCATCTAAGAACAAGCTTTGTCTTGATGAGCCTTACCTTGCACTTCCTTAAGTGTGTGCTTGTCGGGCTCTAGCATACTTTTAAGATGCTTTAAAAAAATCGGAGTCAAATTAGAATTCCCAGAAATTGACAAAGGCACAATGGTTTGACCATATTGATTCAAATTCATTAGTCTAGACGTCTCATCATCATTACTACGTGTATACAAAATATTCCTTGACAAAAGGAAAAATGATGCTAGAAGTGGAAGTATCTGCAGAATAATTAGTTCCTTGTTGCGCCAATTGAATATTGCCCTTTTTATGAACATGGCCCAGAACTGCTGGTAGTAGAGGGAACACTGAAGAAAGAAGAGAGAAAGAGAAACAGAACATTATAGACCTAAACAGGTCAATCAATTGAAATTAAAGATGAACACTGGGATTTTATGGTAGACATACATAAAATTTCTAAATACTTGGGATATAATTCAAACATAGAATGATAATGCACAAGAGTATGTACAGCCTTTTGTCTGTATAAGGTAGGGGTCAACACAATTATACCCATTCATTTCTGTATCATTTATGGTTGCTTTTTGCTACAATGACAGGGCTGAGTAGTTGCAACAGAGACCATAAGGCCCACAAAGCCTTATATATTTATCATCTCACATAAAGTTTTCTAACTTCTGCTATAAGGATTAAATAAGATATTTATGTTCTGGATTTTGATATAGCATACTTAAACGGCTCAATAAAATGATTTTCCTCAGTCTTCTTATAGTCAGGAAAACCAAAGTGTTTTATGGGAAGAATGGATAAATAGGAGAATAAAAGAAATATTTGGCAATTCAAACAGACTTACCACACTGAAAACCATAGTGATTAAATAGCAATTCCTTATATAATATCAATTACCATTGCAAAAAAAATTAAAATATTGTGCATGCTTGACTATTAAGAATCATGCTCACTCCAACTCATACTAGCTTCAATGAGCTAACAAATTTCTGGATTATCGACTTGAAAAAACAAAAGAAGTCTAAAACAGAAAACAAAAACAACTGAGAAATAACTATTAAGATCTTTATCTAGAAAACATTCCTCTGCATTAAGAAATTAATTAGATCATGGTACAGGGTGCTCCATATCTGGTTGGGTCTGCAGTGCCTGAGAATTCCACACTCCTTTTGTCCAAGTATTTCAAAATGTACCTCTTGTGCCCAAGCGAATATATATCAGTTTTCTGTAAAGGTCCTCACCCCAGTATTAAACATAACAGCAGGTCTTTCATTCACAGTGAACGAATCTGCTCCCTCATTTCTTGACATATTCCTATTTTGGTTCTTGACTGATGCTTCACTCATCTGAGAGAGATGCTGAGGTTGGGCAGATGCAATGTCTGTTTGTGAATCTTCCATATTAATGACCCTATATTTAAAAAGTACAAAATATTACATTTTTACTTTATCCCAATACATCTTGTTTGGAGAATGTGTTACAACACCCAGCTCAGAAGACTTCCTGGTTTGCTTGCTGACTGGAAGGAGTGCAATATGAAAGCAATATGGCAGAGCAAGTGATTCCCCAGCACTACTTATAGAACTGCTGCCAGACCAAGGGCAAGCTGGAAAAACAAGGGCAACACAATGTTTCACTAAGTGGAACTCATTCAAGTTAAATATTAAGGTCTAACTCCTACTTTGAAGAAGTTACAATATCTATACATACAATGTAAAAGCCTAAGCAACCAAATGACCGAATGAGCGAATAACCAAAAGACCAGTCTCTATGATGTACACGGACGACCAGGAGGCAGACGCTCAATGCAGGAGCTGCCCCCTGGTGGTCAGTTGGTTCCCACAACCAACCTCCCTCAGTAGGCCAACCTCCTGCGGCCCCACCCCCTGGCCAGCCAACCTCCCACCGCCCCTCCCCCAGCTAGCCACCCCATGCCCCAGATTGGGCTGGCTGACCAACCTCCCACAACCCCTCATCCTGGCCAACCTCACGATGGCCACCCCCCCATCAGCCCAATCATTGACCTGATCATTGGCCCAATTGCTGGCCCAGCCAAGGGACCCCATCCATGCACAAATTCATGCACCAGGCCTCTAGTTCCTTTATAAAATGATGGTGATGATATTTTTTCAATGTTCTTATTGTAAAAGAAATTGCATGAGGCCCCTCCCCTACACTTCTTAAATTTTTAATGTGTGCATCTGAAAGTGTGGTGAGTTTACAAAGGGAACTAAGAGGTGGTCTTTTCCCCACTCATTGTTTTGGTGTTTCCTATACACTGCTGCTCACCTAAAGAAGACTTCTTCAATGGTAGTGACAGAGGCACCAAAGCTAGAAATGCCCAGCTCTGCCCGTCTCCTTTCCAGATCAGTAAACAAAGCTTCAAACCTAAAGCAAGAATATGATTAAGAGTAAGAATGAGGAGAAAATGCTAGTACCAAATCAGAAGATTTTCTTAGTTGTGTATTTTTATTCTAAACTAACATTTTTTAAGCATTGGAAAAATGTAGATCATTCTTCAATGCTCGTTATAATTTCATGCCTTTGGTAAATCAAAACGATGGAAAAATTGATTAAAAAAAAAAAAAGAAACTAGCAAATTACTATAGCAAATTGCTTCCCACTCTACTTTGTATGTGGGTACACATAATTTTGGTCTTCTTATAATATATCAAGAGACTCTATCTATGTTAAAACTCTATCAAATTGACATAGTTGACTTATCATACATATGGTCCCTTAGTCAATCACTTAGTAAATCATGGTAGAAAATCAGACTCAAGTTAATAGTGGTAAAAAGACACAGAAAATAGAAAGTGGATCAGGTTCAGTAGATGAAGATGTAGAGAGAAACGTGCTTCAACGGCCAAGGAAATCTGTAGAAACTGAGACAGATGAAACGTGGAGACATCAAGGCTTTTAAAGAAGTTTTCTTTGAGATTTTATGGTATTTCATATTCAAAGGATCGTCTTTGCCAGAGACCTCCAGGTACTCAAGATCATTTATTATATTCCCAGTAGGAACAACTGAACCTCTCTGTTCATTCTCAGTGTTGAAGAAGTCAAATTTCCCCTTTTGTAATATCTATTAAGATTTAAGCTTCATATTTGAGCTTAAATTGTGTTCCATTCAAGTCTATGTAGTTTTTCACATTGGTTCTCAGCTGGCACCTTTAAGTTACATAATCAGATATATCTATCTACATGATAACCATTCACATGTATGAATTCCATCTCTTTCTATGTTTCATCCTTCCCAATGTATGGTTTTGCCACTAGGATTCACCCATATTTTCTTCTGCTGCTTTTATATTACCTAAGAAATTAATATGAGTGCATTGTACAAAATTCAGAAAATGAATACATATAAAAATTAGAATATCCTTCATAGATAAGCAGTGCTAATACATGAATACTTTCACACATTTATTAGATTTTTTTGGCTTTACACAATGTATGACAAAATTAGAATTACACTGTGTGATACTTTGAAGTGTATTAATAAAGCACAAAGTGAAGATGAAAAGCCATCAACAGTTTAGTAAATAAGTTCATACATTATAATATGAATGTATGATACAATAAGATCTAACTAAAATGGGATTTTTATTTACTTTTTAATTCTTTGTTGTTGAAAGTGTCACATAGGTCTCCTTTCTCCTCCATTAACTTCTCTGCACCCACTCCCCTCCTGCAGCACATACTCTCACCCCACTAATTGTCTGTGTCCATTGGTCATATTCATATGCATGCATACAAGTCCTTTGGTTGATCTCTTATCCCCACCTCTGCCCCTCTAAGGTTTGATAGTCTGTTTTTTGTTGTTGTTCTATATCTATATTTGTTTATCAGTTTATGTTGTTCATTATATTACACAAATCAGTGAGATCATATGATATTTATCTTTCTCCCACTGGCATATTTCACTTAACATAATGCTCTCCAGGTCCATCCATGCTCTTGGAAATGTTAAGAGTTCCTTCTTTTTTATAGCAGCGCAGTATTCCATTGTGTAGATGTACCATAGTTTTCTAATCCACTCATCTGCTGATGGGCACTTAGGCTGTTTCCAAATCTTAGCTATTGTAAATTGTGCTGCTATGAACATAAGGGTGCATATATCCTTTCTGATTGGTGTTTCTGATTTCTTGGGGTATATTATATTCCTAGAAGTAGGATTACTGGGTCAAATGGGAGTTTCATTTTTAATTTAAAATGAATTTTTTTTCAGTCATCTTACAAATGAAAACCTAAGTCTTATAGAAAGTGGACAGAAAAATGCTTATAAGGGAACAAAACAAGATTCAGAACATTATAATAAGATCTCATTTCTATAAAACTAATTATTTTAATTAGTACCCATGTCAATGGATACATGTCATGATCAGGGAAAACATAAACTTTCCCAGTGTGGGAGAGTGGTTGTAGGAGAGTTTTGCTTTCTAATTCATATGCTCCAGAAATAAATAAGCTTTTCAATCTTGTCATCATATGTAGATTAGCAAACTCATTAGTGGTAAAATAATTAGTAATAAAACAAAATAAATATAATAGATAAATTAATAACAAATTATAATAAGAACCAATCATATTGTGAAGAACATATATCTATTTTTCTAATTATACAGGCTTTCTTATATAATAGAGGCCCTGTGCATGAAATACACGCACTGGGTTGGGGGGTCCCTCAGCCTGCCTGTGCCCTCTCACAGTCCAGGAGTCCCATGATCGATCGCCCCAAAGAGATAGGCCCTGCCCACTTGACTGGGGTTTTGTGATGGATTGCCCTGGCCACCCACCACAGCCCACCAGTTGGTGGCCTGGTCATCCTTCTTTGGGGCAATCATGGAACCCCCGAATTGATCGATTGTCCTGCCAGCCGGTGGCCTGGCCCTCCCTCTGTAGGGCAATCATGGGGCAATGGCCAGGCCCTCGACCAATCGCATCGCACCCATCTTGGCTGGCCTGGCACCAGTGGGTGTCATAGCGTGGGAGTCTGGAAGGTGAATACACCTGGAGATGGGTAGGCAAGGTCGAGGGAGGAGCTGACCCCGCTCCCAGGTTCTGCAGGCAGCGGGCAGAGGGAAGAGGAACGCTGGGCTATGGGAGGGTCTGTTTGCTAGGCTTAGAAGATAAAAGGTCCAGAGCCTAGGCTGGCGGCACAGCCCTGAGCACCAGAGCCACGCCCCTCAGCCCACATACACCCAGTGTTAAGGGAGGCAGGGCTGCTGGCTGCGGGGAGTCTGGAGCTGGCAGACCACAGCTGGTCAGAAAGAAAGCCACAGTTCCATTTTTGGCTGTTTTTATTTTTAACCCAGAGCACAGGAGTTTTCGTTTACAACTACTCCGGGTGCTAAAGGGGAGGCTGGGTGGGAAGCAGTCAAGGGAGACTGGAAAAAGTCATAGGCCCCAAACTGAAATGGCATTTTTCTTGAAAGGAGCTAGTGATCCCAGCAGCCACAGGGCAGGAAAAGAGAAAAACAAACAAAAAACGCCCTAAGCACAGACTTTCCTACTCACAGCACACCACACCCTGCATTTGTAGTTTAATGGAGGAACAAACGCAGAGGTGAAATAACAATAGACCCCGCCGAAAACAAAGGGTTGTTACAAAATACTATGAACAACTCTATTCCATCAAACTGAACAACCTGGAGGAAATGGACATATTCCTAGAAAAATACAACCTTCCAAAACTCAATCAGGAAGAATCTAAAAATATCAATAGAGCAGTGACTTGGGAAGAAATTGAAACAGTCATCAAAAAGCTTCCAGCAAACAAAAGCCAAGGGCCACAGGAGAGTTTTACCAAACATTCAAGGAAGAATTAAAACCTATCCTCCTCAGACTATTTCAAAAAATTCAAGAGGAAGGAACACTTCCAAACTCCTTCTATGAAGCCAGCATCACCCTAATACCAAAACCAAATAAAGACAACTCAATGAAAGAGAATTACAGGCCAAAATCCTCAACAAAATTCTAGCAAATCGGTCACAACACGACCAAGTAGGATTTATTCCAGGAATGCAAAGATGGTACAATATCTGCAAATCAATAAACGTGATACATCACATAAACAAATTGAAAGATAAAAATCATATAGTCATATCAGTTGATGCAGAAAAAGCATTTGATGAAATCCAACACCCTTTCCTGATAAAAACTCTCAACAAGGTGGGAGTACAAGGATCATACCTCAACATAATAAAAGCTATATATGATAAACCCACAGCCAACATCATACTCAATGGGCAAAAACTAAAACCATTCCCTCTAAGAACAGGAACAAGACAGGAATGCCCACTATCGCCACTCCTCTTTGACATAGTACTGGAAGTACTAGCCATTGCAATTAGACAAGAAGAGGAAATAAAAGGCATCCAAATTGGAAAAGAAGAAGTAAAGTTATCCTTATTTGCAGATGACATGATATTGTACGTAAAAAAACCAAAAGACTCCATTAAAAAACTAATTGACTTAATAAATGAATTTGGCAATGTAGCAGGATACAAAATTAATGCCAAGAAATCAATGGAATTTCTATACACCAACAGCAAACTTCTAGAAACAGAGACTAAAAAAGCAATTCCATTTACCATTGCACCAAAAAAATTAAGATACTTAGGAATAAATTTAACTAAGGAAGTAAAGGACCTATACGCGGAAAACTACACAACACTGAAAAAAGAGACAGAGGAAGATGTAAACAGATAAAAGAACATACCATGTTCATGGATTGGTAGAATCAACATCATCAAAATGTCCATACTTCCTAAGGCAATCTATAGGTTCATTGCACTCCCCATTAAAATACCAACGGCATATTTCACTGACCTAGAAAGAACTCTCCAAAAGTTCATTTGGAACAATAAAAGACCCTGAATAGCCACAGAAATCCTGATAAAGAACAGTAAAGTAGGAGGGATCTCAATAGCAGACTTCAAGCTGTATTACAAAGCCATTGTTCTCAAAACAGCCTGGTACTGGCACAAGAACAGACATATAGATCAATGGAATAGAATTGAGAACCCAGATATCAACCCAAATCTCTATGCTCAGTTAATATTTGACAAAGGAGGCACAAATATACAATGGAGTCAAGACAATCTCTTCAATAAATGGTGTTGGGAAAATTGGACAGATACATGCAAAAGAATGAAACTAGATCACCAACTTACACCATACACAAAAATAAACTCAAAATGGATACAGGATTTAAACATAAGACGGGAAAGCATAAAAATACTAGAGGCATCCACAGGCAGCAAAATCTCAGACATATGCTAAAAAAACTTCTTCACTGATACTGCCCCTAGGGGAATGGAAGCTAAAGAGAAAATAAACATAAAAATAAAAAGCTTTTTTACAGAAAATGAAACCATCAGTGAAACAACAAGAAAGCCCACTGTGTGGGAGAACATATTTGCAAATGTTATCACTGATAAAGGTTTAATCTCCAACATCTATGTACACCTTATACAAGTAAATAAAAGGAAGATGAATGATCCAATTAAAAAATGGGCAATGGACCTAAATAGAATATTTTCAAAAGAAGTCAGAAGGAAAGCCAAGAGGCACATAAAAACATGCTCAAAGTCACCAATTATCCGAGAGATGCAAATCAAAACAACAATGCGGTACCATCTCACACCTGTCAGAATGGCCAACATCAACAAATCAACAAAGGACAAGTGTTGGCGAGGTTGCGCAGAAAAAGGAACCGTTGTGCACTGCTGGTGGGAATGCAGACTGGAGAACAGTGTGGAGTTTCCTCAAAAAATTGAAAAAGGAACTCCCATTTGATCCAGTAATCCCACTCCTAGGAATATATCCCAAGAAACTAGAAACACCAATCAGAAAGGATATATGCAGCCCTATGTTCATAGCAGCACAGTCTACAAAGCTAGAATCTGGAAACAGCCTATGTGCCTGTCAGTGGATGATTGGGTCAAATAACTATAGTACATCTACACAATGGAATACTATGCTGCCATAAAAAATAAGGAATTGTCATCATTTGTAGCAACCTGGATAGAACTAGAGAACATCAAGCTGAGTGAAATAAGCCAGTCAATGATAGAGAAATACCACATGACCTCACTCAGTTATGGATATTAAAGAACATTATAAACTGATGAACCAAAAGTCAGATATAAAGACAGTAAAGCAACAAGCAGACTGTCAAATTACAGCCAGGAGGGTAGGGAGATCTGGAGGAGATAGAGATCAACCGAAGGACTTGTATACATTGCATATAAGTACAACCAATGGACACAAAACTCTGGGGAGGGAGGGTATGTATGGGAGGGGGGGAGCAATGTTAATATATGTACACATATAATAATTTAATAAAAAATATTTTTTAAAAGTTTAGCCACATCAGAAAGTAGGTCTAATTAAACAAGTTTATTATATATATATATATGCACACACATATATATATATACACACATACATATATATATATGTATATATACTACTTTATATAGAGATATCTTTGATCACCATTCTTTGAGGTATACAATAGGAATAATTGCTGAGTCATAGTATGCGCACAAATTTAGCTTAGTAAAAATGTCCAAACGTTTTCCAAAGCCATTTTACCATTTTACACTTCCTTCCCCCAGCAGTGAGATTCAACTGCTAGGGTTACATGTCCTTTCAGTTTTAACCATTCTCATGGATGTGTAGTGGCAATATATTCATCTTTCATTCTTTAAAATGTTGCTTATAGTTCTGGGAAAAATTCTTGACAGTTTTCTCTTTCATTGTTTCTCTTTTCTGCCATAATTATTGGTCAAATATTTATTAGTCAAACAGGAATTTTATTTCACTTTATGTCATTTTCCCTCTTCACAGAGCCCTCTGAAAGACTCACAGTGTCCTCTTCAATTGAATTCACATTATGAAAGCGAGGTTCTAAGTTTCAGTACATTTGTTTTAAAAGTAGGCATTTCTTGTGATCCTTTTATTTTCAAATTCAGTACCCTTCCTATAGCTCATTTTTCTTTCATCCTTATGAAAGTAGATTGATGTTTAATTAGGTAAATAAGTGTATATTAGATCAATGCCTGGTAAAAAGAGCTCAATTGCTATTAGCTAACCAAACTATAGCTGGAATGAAAATCATTAAGAATCTCTGAAATAAGTGGATCCATAGGTATTTCTTTTTCTTACAATCCTCCCCCCTTAAGAAAAAAACAACAACAACAAACAAATACCCACACACACAAAACAAACAAACAAAAAAAACACAAAAAACAAACAAAAAAAACCTCTCCGTGTTAGAGAAAAGACATTCTACCCTAATTTCATGATTTTTATTTTATTTCTAGTGAGTCTATCATTCCAAATCTGGATGTATGGTATGGCAATCTACAATTAATTGTTTACCTCTAAGATCTCTCTCTCTCTCTCTCTCTCTATCTCTATCTCTATCTCTATCTCTATCTCTATCTCTATCTCTATATCTGTCTATTTTTTATTTTTTTCCTCCAGGTCCAAATGATTGGTAGGGGATAAGATTAACATCATCTGCTTCCAAATGTGAAGATGTGATAAAATATGAAGACAACATGATAAATATAAAGGATATAAGGGAAAACATTGCCTGCTTCTAAATAGTTTAATTTCCTTTTTCATTTTTGAGAATGTCACGTGTCCACATGAGTGAGGATAGGTGGGGAGTGTGATAGTTTAAAGAAGTGCTTTGTCTTAGTCTCCAGAGAAATTCCTGCAGCTTCACATGAATCACAACCATCATGATGGGCCAAAGCTCCCACCTGGTTTCTGGTTGTTTAGGGATTCATATATAGAATTTTATTTCCAAGTCTCCATGATTCTTTATTCTTTCATTCCTGTTTACGTTAAGGATCTGGATTCTATTCTTCTACTGATCCCATTGTTTCATGCTACTGCTTTTCGATAACTTCCAGATTGCTAAATAAAAAGTTAAAATCCACTCATCTGGTGATGGGCACTTGGGCTATTTCTAGATCTTAGCTATATAGATAAGTGGATAATAAAGACGTACATCTACACAATGGAATACTATGCAGCTATAAAAAGGAGGAACTCTTGCCATTTGCAACAGCATGGAAGGATCTGGAGATCATTACGCTAAGCAAAAAGACCAATCAGAGAAAGACATGATCTCACTTATATGTGGAATCTAATGAACAAAATACACTGATGAACAAAATAGATCCAGAGACATGGAAGCATGAGCAACAGACTGATGAATCTCAAAAGGAAGAAGGCAGTAAAGATTAACCAAAGAACTTGTATGTATTTGTGCATAACCCATGGACACAACAATAGTCAGCAGAGGCCTGGGGAGGGGCAGGAGCAAGATGGAAGAGGTCTACAGGGGGGGGGGGGGGGGAGGTGTGAACTGTAATACTTTTTTAAAATTTATTTTCTTTATTATTTTTTAAATTTTATTTCTATTACTGAAAGTCTTACAGATGTTGCCTTTGTTTTTTTAGTGTGTTTTTTTTTCCCATTGACCCTCCACCACCATCCTGCACCCACCTCTCCCAGACCTTCACATTGTCTGTGTCCATGATTATGCATATATGCATATAAGTTCCTAATTAATCTCTCCTTTCCAGCCTCACACTCTCACTTTTCCTCTGAAATTTTTTAGTCTGTTCCATGCTTGTATGTCTCTGGTTCTATTTTATTCATGAGTTTATTTTGTTCATTAGAGTATTTTGCTCACATATGATTGAGATCATGTGGTACTTATCTTTATTTGATCTGCTTATTTAACAATACAGGAAATTTTGTTTAAAAGAAGCACTTTCTATAACACATTGAATATACTTTTAAATGGAGTTCCTTGTATATAATGTGATCTTTAAAAAATTATATTACATTAAGAATTGAAAGAAAAATAATAGTTAAAATCATGTTTTTTCCCTTTTTTAATCTTTTTGATACATTCCTCCTTTTCTAAGGAGGCAGAAAGTAACTTCATATTCTTCTTGATTGTGACAACTGGCTTGATTCTAGGAAAGAACAAATTAAGTACTTATTTGTATGACAAGAAATAAAGATAAGTACTCTGAAAGTCATTGATGAGTACTCTTAGTTTTAATTTCAAATTTTTTGTATGGTTATCACTAAAGTTTTTGTTTTTTAAAATATATTTTTATTGATTTCAGAGAGAGGAAGGGAGAAGAAGTGATAGAAACAGCAATGATGATAAAGAATCATTGATCTGCTCTTGCATGCCCCCTAAAGGGGATTGAGCCTAAAACCTGGGCATATACCCTGACCAGGAAGCAAACTCTGACTTCCTCAGTGGGTTGACACTCAACCACTGAGCTACACCATCCAGGCATGTTTTTATTCTTTGTGACTCCCTCTGATGAGTAATAACTTAGCTAACTAATGCAGTAAAACTGCCTCTTTCCTCTGGTTTCTTGTCACCCTGACTTCAAGTGCCATCACTATGAGCATTTTTTTCTCTCATTATCTTAATATTTCCATTCACTCTACTCACCACACAATTTTATTCTACATACAAATACCACCCATCATCACCAATTGAAACCAGCCCACTACAAACCATAAGGTTACATCCCTCTCTTTAGTGCAAGTGGCAGCAAGGCCTGGAGATTTGGCTTGTTGAATGACCTCTACTTGCTAAGCCTGAAGAAACCAGGAAAAGCAACAAAAATTTCCTGTTATCTAAACATCAACATTAGCATTCTCTTAATCCGTACCTGTGTGTGTAGTCTTTGGGTAGAATAAAATATACTTCATTCAAAACACTCTTCTCCAAAGTGGCCGATGGTATATGATAATTTATCAATTTTGAGATTTCTTCAACATTACAATGAGGTTCCTTCACTATGACTAAGTGGTATCCCACACCTGAGAAAATTCATTAAAAAAAACAACACACAACTTAGTTATTTCCCTTATTCTAGTGAGACTCCACTAGGTTTTCATGACTTGGATGAGCAATAATAAGGTATGGCATGCCACAATTAAATTAGATTACAAGTCTAAAAAGTCTAATAAATGCTTCTTTTGTAATTTTATTATTTTTCTTTTTTTTAAATATATTTTATTGATTTTTTACAGAAAGAAAGGGAGAAAGTTAGAGAGTTAGAAACATCAATGAGAGTCATTGATCAACTGCCTCTTGCACACCCCCTACTGGGGATATGCCCGCAACCAAGGTACATGCCCTTGATCAGAATCGAACCGGGTTCCTTCAGTCCCCAAGCCGACGCTCTATCCATTGAGCCAAACCGGTTTGGGCTGTAATTTTATTATTTTTCTTACAGACTAATAGACAAGAGATAGAAAGAAAAGCTTCTGTTATCTGGCCTCTTGTATTATATACACTGAAATCTGAGAGAACAAGATTTATATTTATTAAACACATATTTATTGGGTGCCTACTATATGCAAGTAAGTAAATAAACCAGCTAAAACTCCTATCCTTCAAAGACCTCAGAAATCTTTCCAGAGTATTCTGTACTTTTACTAGATCCACTGCACAAGCCTTCCAGAAGTTGGAAATGGGTAGTGACAAAAATCCCTCAAAGGTTCTACAGGAATTTGTAGAAAGCATTGCAGAGCATTCTGATAGCTCAGGGTATGACAATAAGGTTTGAGAAATAGCTGTGGGATTCACTAGTCTTTCACTGAAATAGCCCTTCAAAAGTTTGGGAGAGGGTATTATGGTAGAGAGAAACCTTTTCAGGTAAAACTCTGCAGGGATGGATAACAAAGAGGATGTGTCAGATTAAAAAAAAAAAAACTAAACAACAACAACAAAAACAACAACAACTGGGAACTAGACTGTAAAGAGAACTTTATAATCTCATTCATGCACAGATCTCAACCTCTGCTAAAAGCAAAATCCTAATCCCATTCTTAAAATGTTTGAAGAGAGCTATGATCAGAATCTAAATACAGTAGGTCTTCAGTTATGTTGGAGATCCATTCCTATGGTGCAATGTAACACGATTTTCACCGTAAGTTGGAACCCAGCTACACAAGCACCTATGTCACTCACATGGAGCACATACACAGCAGTAATGAAGTGAAAGATTAAAAATAAATTTAAAAGAAAGATAACAATTCCTTACCTTTACTTGTGGTAAATAATTAATAAAAAAACATAAAGCACATATGTACATACATCGAAATAATGGAACTTTTTTTTAATATATATATAAATAAGTGGGAGATGGTGACATAGCCACGAAACAACGTACTTTACATCCAATGTAACCTGAGGACTGTCTGTAAAGTTGTAACACATCCCAATATTTGCTCAAATGCAGGTCATATTTATTCAGTTGTCTACTACAATAGTGGCCAACATATCAAAGCATATCCTTTCCTGAGAATAAATATCAATTACTTTATTCTCTACTGTTATTTTATTCACAGTGACAATCATAAAAGTTACAAAACATGCGAAGAAGAAAATATAACCCGAAATATAATGAAAAAATAAATAGAAGTGGAGCAGAGGTATTTTTCGAACAATAGAAAAATATGTCATGAGAATTCAACTCTATAAAGTGGAGACATATGACTTACCTAATAGAGAACACAAAATAACCATCATAAAGATGCTCACCAAGGTTAGGATAATAATACATGTGAAAAATGATAATTTCAACAAAGAAAGAGAAAACTTAAAGCACTAAAAAGAAGTCATAGAGCTAAAAATATATGATTAAATAAATTGAAAAATTCAGAGGAGTAAAAATCAGACTAATAAATGAGTGAGTTCTAAGTTAAGGCACTGGAAATTATTCATTCAGAGGATCAGAAAGAAAATAAGAACAAAGACTAAATAAAGCCTAGGAGACCAATAGGATACCATCAATAGAGCAATATAAACATTATAGGCGTTGCATAAGGAAAAGAGGGAGAGAAATCACAAGAAGGTTATTCAAAGAAATAATGGCTAAAAAAAACTTTCCAACCTAGGCAATGGACATGAAGATTCAGGAAGCACAGAATACAAGATTAATTCAAAGGAATTCACAATGCGTTCCATTTTAATCAAACTAGAGGCATGGTGCATGAATTTGTGCACAGGTGGAGTCCCTTGGCCTGGCCAGCAATCAGGGCCAATCAGGTTGACCAGGAGGAGGGGACACAGGAGGTGGACCAGCTCTGGGAGGTTTGCTGTGAGAGCACACTGACCACCAGGGGGCAGCTCCTGCATTGAGCGTCTGCCGCTTGGTGGTCAGTATTCATCATAGCAACCAACCAACCAGTTGTTCAGTCACTTGGGCTTTTATATATATATAGATAGTCAAAAATCAAAGACAAAGAGAAAATTTTGAAAGCAGACAGAAACAAGTAAGTTGTCACATACAAGGATGATCACTAATTTATATAATGTATAATTACTAGGGTGTATACCTGAAACCAAAATAATATTATAATATTATATATCAACTTTAATTGAAAAATAAAAATAAAAAATATTTTAATTTAAGAAAATGCATTAGACAGTGGTCAGCAAACTCATTAGTCAACAGAGCCAAATATCAATAGTACAATGATTGAAATTTCTTTTGAGAGCCAAATTTTTAAAACTTAAACTAAATAGTTTGGTACATTGTTATTAATTTAATTAGGGTACTCCTAAGCTGGCCTTTGCTAAAAACTCAAGGGGCTAAAGAGACACATGTGGCTCACGAGCTGCAGTTTGCTGACCACTGCATTAGACTATCAACAGATTCTTCAGTAGAAACCTTAAAGGTTAGATGATATATTCAAAGTGCTTAAAGAAAAATCTTCCAACTAAGAATACTATACTGGCAAAACTGTCCTTCAAGAATCTCTCTATATATAAAAGCCTAAACAACTAAACAATGGAACAACCAATCGACTGATCACTATGATGCACACTGACCACCAGGGGCAGATGCTCAATGCCAGAGCTTCCCCTGATGGTCAGAGCACTTCCACAGCAGGACCACTGCTCAGCTGACTGGCAGGTGCCAGACACAGGGCTTATGGCTGGCGAGCACTGATGCAGTGAGGCAAGCCTCTCCCTATCAGAACTGACTGGGCGCGAGTCTGCAGCAGACACAGTGGGGCCGGGATGAGTGGCAGTGGAAGGCAGGAGCAGAAGGAGGTGTTGGACTGCTGGGTTCAGCCCAATCCCTGCAGGCCATGCCAAAAGACCTCATCCATGCATGAATCTGTGCACTGGGCTTTTAGAAAAGGATGAAAGATTTTTCTAAACAATTAAAAACTGAGAGAGTTCATTAAAACTAGAACAACTTCATAAGAAATGGCAATGGGGTTTTCTTTCTTTAAGTTGAAAAGAAAGTATGCCAGAGAATAATACAAAAGCATATGAAAGTATAAAACTAACAGGTGATGGAAAATATGTAGACAAAATGTATTATTGTAACTGTGGTGAGTAAACTACTTTAAATTCTATCATAAAAGTGAAAAGACAGAAGTATTAAAATAGTAATAGTTAAAACGTTATATTTTTACAAGAAATTATAGCTTAAGATAAGTTACACAACACAAATAGATATAAGTTGTAACATTAATAACTAAAGCATGTGGGATAGGGAAGATACAAAGAATGGTTTATATATGCAATGGAAGTTTACCTTTATTAACATATGACAGGCAATTAAAACTATAATGTATTTTATGTAACCTCCCTGGTAACCAAAAAGAAAATACACAAAAGAAAAGGAAAAAGAAATCAAAGCATATCAATACTAAAAATAATAAAAAGGAATGAAGACATGGAGAGAAAAAGAGGAACACAAGAACTATTAGACAGACAAAAATTAACAAAATAATAATAACAAATCCTTCCCTATCAAAACAATTACTTTAAATGTAAACAAATTAAATAAAATACACTTAGTAACTGAATAGACAGAAAGTGAGATCCAACTGGATGCTGCCCACAAGAAATGTGCTTTAGGTTTAAGGACAGATGCAGGTTGAAAACGAAGAGATAGAAAAACAACTCCATAAAAATATAACCAAGAGAAACAGGTGTGACTATTCTTATATCAGATAAAATAGACTTTAGGTAAAAAAAAAAAAAAAAAAAAAAAAAAAAAAAAAAAAAAAATGCCAAGAGAGACAAAAACAACAGCAACCCAAAATTGATAATGATTAAACGATCAATTCAAAATAAAGGTGTAAGAGTCATGAAAATTGTATATCCCAATATCAGAAGCCTAAATATATAAAGATATATAAAGCAAATGTTGATAGAGCTGAAGGATAAAATAACCAGACATACAATAAAATAGGAGAATTCAAAATCCCACTATCAATAATGGACAGATTAAACAGAGAGAAAAATCAACGGAGAAACAGAGGCCTTGAACAATAGTATAGATCAAGTGGACCTAACAAAAATATATAAATAATTCTAACAGTAGCAGAATATATATTTTTCTTAAGTGTGCATAGAACATTTTCCAGACTTGATCAAATATCCTATCAAAAAACAAGTTTTAACAAATTTAAGAAGATTGAAATGATACTGAGTAACCTTTCTGGTCATAATAGAATAAAAATAGAAAGCAATAGCAGAAGAAAAACAGAAAAATTCAAAATTAAGCAACACATTTTGAACAACCAAAGGGTCAAAGAAGATATCAAATTAGAAAATATGTTGGGCCAGGTTTAAATAAATACAACATACCGCCTGGCCAGTGTGTCTCAGTGGTTGGGTATTGACCTATGAACCAGGAGGTCATGTTTCGACTCCTGGTCAGGGCACATGCCTCGGATGCAGGCTCAGTCCCCAGTGTGGAATGTGCAGGAGGCAACCAATTAATGATTCTGCCTCATCATTGATGTTTCTCTCCCTCTCTCACTTTCCCTTCCTCTCTGAAATCAAT